CAGCAGGAAGAGTGTAACACGTTAAATGTGTCCCTCTGGGTTTTTAGCCTACAGATCACATATTCTAGAGGAGTGCTTTCCTTCCTAAACAACGACAAAAAGGAGGGCCAAAAGTGTACATCTTTTGCTACATTAAAAAACAAACAAACGAACAAAAAACCCAAACACCTAAGACATAAAAAGATTTAAATGGATGTGTTCATTTTTTAATCAGGTCAACCATTTGAATTCATTTCCTACTTTGCCTATGTCCTGTAATTTATTTTAAACTACACATTATTTCTGATTTTCTATATTTTTCTTTTTATGTGCTTAGAAATTTAATTTGATACCTGGAGTTCTGAAATTTAGTTGAGCAATGATTCAGAGGAGCTAAACTAGCCTGACAATTGTTTCTGTAGATTCCAATTTCCTACATATAATAAAAATAATTTTCTTAACAGATACTTAGGGTTTTCTCCATCCGATAGAGCAAGTGATTCAACTGTTTTTCTGCCCCTAGATTACACCCTCCCAGCGACTCTCGATGCATTGGTTTTCACAAATGAATTGACATCAAGTAATACTCCACAGGAATAAATAGAAACCTCACTCTCATCTCTTTAATATTGAGTCCCGTGATCCAGTTGCTTTCATTCTGTCTCACTCATTTCCTCCACTTATTTCATTCCAGTTAATCTGCTCACTCAATTCTCGACACTTTGATTTAATTTAATGCTTCCAATTTAAAAACTGTCATTTGTAATAATTTGGCATTTCTTACATCCGTCTGAGAAAACCTTCTTGCTTTCTGTAAAAATTCCTGAATAACTGCTAAATTACTTCTTGTGAATTTCCCATCATCCAGGAGGGTTCGGTGACAAAAGCTATGAGGCTGTTTAAAGAAACAGCTCTCTTTGTCCTGCTGCAACTCCTGGGAAGTGACACCAGCTGGAAAAGTTGAGGTCAGCTTATAAAGCTACGTTTAATTTGTATTCTTAGTAAACACTATAATAATTATCTGAAGCCATTAATCTACAAGCTACTGGGTATTAGCCACTGGGTAATAATACTCCAAATTCAGAGACAAGTACTGCCCCTACCACCGACTATGACAACAAATGGGAAAGGAAGAATAGAGGGGAGGTAAAATACGTGTGCGTTAAAACTCTGTGGGAAGTGACAAAATGTAGACGATTCAATTTAGCAAATTAAATCCCTTGCTGAAAGGCTTAAAAGAAAAAAAGGAATAAAAAACCCCACAGACTCACCCACTCAAGAATTATATAATGCATTCTCTGTGTCAAATTTGTACATGCTAACGTCAATGAAGTAAACACTGATTTTATAAATTTAAAATTCAATCTAAAGGAATCCTGGAGTGGCAAGCAGCTACAAACATGTTTATCATTTTATGCCTCTGTGTGTGCCTTGCATGACAACGGGCGAACAAACTGGGCAAACGACAAAGATGATACTCATGTGAGCTTTGACCCTGCGTAGCTGGCAGAGAAACTTGTTCGTCTAGACGAAGCTTAGTAAACAGGCTACACCCTCCAGATCAACATTTCTGGTGGGTCACGGGGCGATCACAACCCCTGTTGCTGTGGTCAAAATCCATCCCCTGGCCCGTATTCTTACTCAAGCATGTATTATACATGTGACGGTATCGTGCAGTGTAACTTGGTATTTTTGAATTACTTAACAAACAGCTAGTGTTTATCCGTTTTGTAATTTTTAAAGTTCCTCCAGGAATTATCTTCCGCTTCTAATTTTGTTTCTGAAACCACAGCTAACGAGTTTTCATATACAGATTGCCAGGGATGTAGTGACAGCCTGTAGATTTCGGTATTAAATAACAAATATTTAATTGACATAAAATAATAGCACTCCATAAGAATAAATGATGGTGAGAACCGCAATCGCGTAGTAAGGATTTTACATTGATTTTCTGCCCCTTGCTTTTGGAGAGAAAAACGAAAGATATGTTTTTTGCGGAGACCAAAGTGGTTTTTTTCTGCCGCTGGCAAACACCGTATTAATAAACAGTGTGTTCTAAGCCTCTGTTTTAGGGAAAAATCGCTACAACTGTGATTGGCTTCCTCACAACTAATGCTATTATTCCATGATTATATCCCCCAAGCTTTGTCTCCAATCGTCACGGAAACGAGCCTCTAAACTTTTATCTCAGTTCCTCAACTTTATAAATATTCCCAAGTGTTTCTCTTACTGCTATTCGGTCATTCACGTAAATGAAAAAATATAGACATACAAGAAAAGGCAGGGGGTTTGGGGGAGCTGGTTTTTGTTGTTACTGTTTGGGGGGCCGTAGGTTTGATGCAGGGATTAAGCTCAACTACCAATTTTAGAAATCTAAGCGCTATGGACTTAATGCCACTGAATTAGTCACCTAAAAATGGCTAAAATGGCACATTTTATGATCTGTATATTTTATCATACTTTAAAGAGCAATTAATTTAAAAAGTGAAACTGCTCTGTTTAGGAGAGAACGTTATTCAGGGATTGCCCTACCCAAGCACGCTGGTACGGTGAGATTCGTGAAATTGCCGTTTTTGTAGGTGTAAAATGGTTGACTATCGGCAATTTCAGACCTACATATTCTTATATAAAACATACCTGTACCTCTACCAGGGAGAATGACTACTGTTTAGTGACGGTCAGTGGATGTCAGGGTCATGAGAAATAACCCTAGCACGGGTAGCTTTTGATATAAGAGCCACTGCAGGTACAGAATATGTTCTTGTGCCTTTACAGCAGTCTGAAACTTTGGGCGAGAGAGATAAATTACAATGCAGTGAGATGCTCTTAACCTCACACGGGCTGAGCTGATTCCGCCGGGTGGCAAACCTGCATCGCTCATTATCCAGGAGAAGACAGATTAATTTTAGCTTCTATTTTCTGCCATCTTCTTACCGCAAAACACTTTATTTCTCCCCACAAAAACCATTCCGTATGTCAAGATCAGGATGTTTTCTAAGATGCCCTTTGAGGAACAGGACCTGTGTGGATTTTCCTCCCACAAATCTCCAAGTCACAGATACCAGACACCCCACCCCGCACCTCCCCGCCAACGCCTTCCACCAGCACTAGCGGACAGAGCTGACGTTCCCGCTCTCAAGCTCCAACTGTAAATGGTTATTACATATCAGACTCAGATACACGGAAATGGCAATCGTATTAGATACGAAAATTAGAGAAGGTCCAAAATCACTACCGCATCAGCGGAACCGAAGCGTATTTAATACGCGTGCCCCTCCAGTTGCCCCTTGGCATCAGCAGAAAGCAATGCGCCCCATGTCCCTGGGATATAGCATGCAGAACCTAGGACCTCAGTTTGGACTCATTATGGTAATTAAAACAGTTTCCCCAATCTAGCTACCCAAGGTGACAGACTGCAGACCTCCTTCTGTGCAATACCGCCTTCGGGAGAAGGGTTTGGACCAGGAGGGGACTGAAGAGAGGCTGCTCTATTCACTTAACATCAGCCTCCAGGAGAAAAACCACCGTGAAAGCAGACCAGGCCATCCGGATGGTTTCAGAGGCTATTTTACACGAGATGCAAACCGGGCTACCCCTTTTGAAGCCCCCAGTGAAAAGCTTTAAACAGGCTATTGTCAGAACCCTGAGTACCTTTTCTCTCTTGGCTTTGTTCAGTATTTTCCTCGGCTGCAGTTTCCATGGCTGGCTTCGTACCATCCACCAAAAATGCTTTGCCCGCTCCCCCCAATACACACTTCTCCCCTCCTCTTCCTTTTCTTTTGGGCCCCCCTCCGGCTCTTATTTACACCCGCGTGATTGAGAGCTTCTGTTCTTCACTACAGAAGATTACAGGCCCTTCCAAGATGCAGAAGTCTCGTCGGCGTCAATCCCCCTCTGCCTACTGGTCCAGAAAGATAGCTGCCAAGGAGCCGGCAGCCGTACGTCACGGAGAATCACGGAGAATCCGGTTATAAAACCGCCACCGCCTGCCCCGCCGGTGCCGAGTCCCGATGCGGCTCCCGGGGGGCCCGCGCCCCGACCGACAGGGCTGCGCCTCTGGCTGGCGTACGCGTGCGCTCCGGCTCTCTCCTTCCTCCTCGCCAGCTGCACCCGATGAATGCTAATTAATTCTCCCAGGAAAGAATAGACTTGTGACATCACAGCAGGGGCTGTGGAGCGGAGGGGAGAGAGCCCCCTCCCACCACGTGACCCAGCGATCGGCCGGTGTGTGTTCTAGCAGAAAGCGTGTCTTCGCACAAGCAAACTCTTTCTTGCCCCTGGGAGCCCTGGGCGGGGCATCACCGTTTGTTTTATTTCATTTACCCTTGACCCTGGCAGGATCTAGTCAAAGGACATGCCCAGGATCTCCATTTTCTTTTTCTTTCTTTAACATGTGTCTTTCCGTAAGAAGACAGATAGCATACGGTATGACTTATATGTGGCATCTAAAAAATGATACAAATAAATGATTTACAAAACAGAAGGAGACTCACAGAGGTAGAAAACAAACTAATGGTTAATCAAAGGGGAAAGGGGAGGGGAGGGATAAATTAGGAGTTTGGGATTAACATATACACACGACCACATACAAAATAGATAACCAATAAGGCCCTAGTGTATAGCACATGCAACTATACTCAGTATCTTGTAATAACCTATAATGGAAAAGAATCTGAAAAAGAATAGATATACATGTATATGTATAACTGAGTCACTGTGCTGTAACCTGAAACTAACAACACTGTAAATCAACCAAACTTCAATTTTTAAAAATGTGCCTTTCACACAACCTCTAGCGAGCTAGCTAGACTGACTATTAAAGAGGGAAGAAAAAGGACATAAAGAGGAAGAGGACCCAAACATAGATTTAACAACAGCAGTATAGCAATTCAGCAACAGAATCTGTTTCCTGGTCTGTAGCTAACGTACGCGATAGTAAGAGAAACTTCAGCTCAAGCCCAATTCAAACAAAAGTACCCATCCCTATTTAAAAATAATCATAATATGCTTATTTTTAAATAATAATGAGCTACCAAAATAATATTATTAAAATATTAATAACATTTTGGTGACTCCTTAGAATGAAAAATCAAAACAGAGTGGTTTTTCTTATTGGATGTGGTTATTTCTATATGGAACTTTATTCCTTAGAACCCTGAGTCAAAAGGCTGTTCTCAAGAGCGTTCTAAATGCTCAGCAGAAAGCCTGTTGTAACAACAATTCTGATTGCTGCTTTCACAAGTCTTCTTGCCCCCCCAGATACTATTGGGCCAATGTTCCCAGCCCATCTAAGTATATAAGCTTTTATGGTGGATATAAGCCATGTTTCCAAGCATCGTTAATTTCTGCACCATTTTTAAAGCATTTGTTTGACCCACTTACCTTCACTGTCGCTACTTAAAAGACTTATAGAAACTCAGTACAATACCCTCAAGGTCCATCCATGGAGGCTAAGTGAAATAGGTCAGACTGAGAAAGACAAATACCACTTGATTTCACTTATATGTGGAGTCTAAAAAACAAACCAAACAAAATAAACAAAACCCAGACTCACAGATACAGAGAAGAGATTGGTGGTTGCCAGAGGCGAGGGGTAGTACAAACTTCAGTTATAACATAACAATAAGTAAGTCACGGGGATGTAATGTACGGCATGGGAAATACAGTCAATAATATTGCATTAACTTTGTAAGGTGACAGACCTTAACTAGACTTATTGTGGTGACCATTTTGCAATGTATACAAACATTGAATCACTATGTTGTACACCTGAGACTAACATAATATTGTATGTCAATTATACCTCAATAAAAAAAATTTCTAGAAACTCAAGTCAAATACAGGGATGACCACTGATAAGCAGAGGGTGAAGGATTCCTGATTCAGAACAGTCCACTAATTGTTTGGTTGGACACCCATCTTAGAAGCAAACATAAAGACGAGTCAGAGGCCACCCGCTCTTAAAAACTCCTCTCCCAAGTTCTGAGGGTCTGTTGCTCAACACTTTAAAAAAAAAAAAAAAAAGGATAAGATCCTGAATCAAAATCCTCTAACAACCTGATCTTTTAATGCATTAGTTTGAGATAATCCCCGAAAGTCTTCTACATTCAATACCTCTGGCCCTGCT